TGCTTGGAGGAGGCCTATTCAGCTCAAATGTCCACCTTCTCCAGGAAGCCTTTCCCAATCTCCCTAATGCTAATGCCCTCTTCTGTTAACTGTTTCCAACTTATGCTGTATGTATCTGGTGTCTGCAGTTGTCTGAATATTTTGTCTCCCGTCAGACTGTGAACTGCTTCCTTGAAATCAGAGACCATGTTTTTGCCATTCTCTGTATCCCCACAAAACACCTGGCATCCAGTGGACACTTACTCAATGTTCACTGTCTGACGGACTTTTTCCTTCATCTTTTCTCTTGTGTCTTCCCTCCCTCCCTCCCTCTTTGGGGTCCCACCCCCTCCTACTGCTACACGGACACACCAGGAAGGCTGGGCAGCTGGGCAGTCTCAACCTCTTCCCATTGGGAGGTGTGGCGTTTAGCTGAGCTGGGTCACTGTCCTCAGTAACAGTGGACACAGGTTTCCAGTCTTGTGCCCATTAAGTCCACTGTTATGTGTCCCCCGCCGTGGCTCTGAGAACGCTACACAACTTGTCTTCTGTCCTTGCCCAAGTCTTCCACCCATCCTCCCCACTCTCCTTCCCATTGTGGAGTTGGGCACAATCACTGTTGGATTCTTGAATCTTCTGCTGCAGCCAGGCCCTGAGTCCCAAGTCTTAGTGCTGTGGGCCTGTGACACTGGTTGAAAGGTCAGAAACCTAATCGAAGTTCTGAGCAAGGATTTTACCTTGGTGGAGGGGGTAGTCCCATCTTCTCATATTTTATTTTATTTTATTTTCAGCTGGTGCAGAATTCCTTTCTTTTGAGGTTTGGGATTGGAGAAGTTTTATAAAAAAGAAACTATTCAGCCATCTTACTGGCCAAGTAATTTGGAATTTAAAACTTGGGAGATGACGGCTGTCTTCAAGTAACTGAAGGAAGTCGTGCACCAAAGAGACTCGACTTGTCCTTTTTGGCCCCAGAAAAATGTCAGAAGGACTGGCAGTCCCAGGGGCCACTCTCAACTCAACTGGAGGACAAGTATCCTCACAACCAGCATGCACAGGAAGCTCCTTGGGGACAGTGCTGAAGGAGGCAGCTGCTGCTCGGCCCTGGCTGGTTCTCGTGCCCTCGAAAGGATGCTCCTGACGCTCTACATGCTCCTAGCTGAAGACTGTTTCCTCGTCTCTGGAATGGGGAGAATGCTAACCGCAGCAGTGAGCTCTCCGGCTTCTCATGAGGCTCAAACAAGAGCCTGGACAGAAGTGGAAGAGCCTGGCCTGGCTGGAGAGTCAAGTATACAAGGCAGAAAAGAGCGATATCCCGCTCTTCACAGAGCTATCTCCGTGAAGAGGTGCTGAGGGCTGCAAGGCCCCCATTTCTACTTGGATTTGACACCCCAGCTGGAGGGGACAGAGAGCCAGAGCAGGGTTCAAATCCCGCTTCCGGAATCCTGGCAGAGCTGGGGATGCCAGAGAAGAAAGAGCCTGGCAGTGGTGAGTGTGAGAATTCAGGCGGAAGGTGACAAGTGCCAGTTAGAAAAGACAGCGGCAGACGTGATGGAGGCAGGAATCACAGGACTTGGCAGCTAAGTGGTTACAGGGGTCTGGGAGGAGGAATTCATGTCTACGGCCAGGTCAAGTGACCACGACATGGTCAAGCCATTCCTAGAAGGAGGGCAGCACTAATGAGAGCCACCCTCGCCAACCCACTCTGTGCGTTCCCTCCTCCTGCTACAACCTGCCGAGCACCATGAAAGAGGAGTCTCCTATCCCGTCTGTACTCTCCTCAGTGAGCTCCTGATCAACACTTCTTCATCTCCTGTCGAGGGTGGATGGAGAGGACAAATGGCAAGGACTTGACCTTGGGAAATACTGGACAGTCAGGGAATAGGAAGAGAACAGATAGTCATCATGGAATGCAGAAAGAGAATCAGCAGGCAGGAAAATCAGGCTGGCCAAATGGGGCCCGCAAGAAACCCCTTCATGTTGGTGGACTGGCCCACATCTCCCTATAAATCCGACCTCGTAGCCACTCTAAAAACACATACTCACAAAAGAAGTCTCTTTGCTCTCTTTCCAGGGGCCTAGGAGCTCGAGCCCTGTGGACCTTGGGGAGAAGGATTCTAGGCAGGAGATGGCAAGCAGGCCATCAGGGAAGGCCTGAGAGGTCAGGGTCTTTGGACACAAGTCCAGGGGAGAGCTTTGGACTTGAAACTCGGCCAGACTAAAGCTAAGCTGTGAATCTACTCCCTCCTCCCTTCCTGGCCCACCACGGTAGTACTGGGGGGGGGGGAAGAGTACTATCTTCCCCTCAACCTTGTTAGACATGTTTGTATGTTTGTGCCTGTTAAACTTCTGAAGTAAACATTCTGCTGTAAAAGCTAATCTGACTCTAAGTGGTCAAATAAAACTAAGGTGTCTGGACCCCTTAAAATTGGAGAAACACAAATGGTAGGAGCTTGAGTCACTGGCAGAGACAAGACACTCCCTCCCACCCCCTCCTGAGACCCAAAGAACCCTGGGGGGGAGGGATAGAAATGTAAGTGGCTTGCGGGGGGGGGGGGGGAGGGCCATGGGCAGAGTAATCATTTTTAACTATAGGGGCTTCATCTAAACTAAAACTTGGCCCTTCAAATTAACAGGGAATCTGGGAGAGTTTCTCTGACTGGGATTTCTTTTCCCCCCCATGTTTTCTTTACACAATGGGCCACTTGACAATTCTGGCCAGGCTCCAGTTGGACGGCTCATGCATGGAAGGGATAATTAAGGATTTTCCACCTAGGACAGTTTTCTCCTCTGAGAGAGTGGGTGCTGCCTAGTTAATCGCAGGTCCTAAATTCCTGTGATTTGGAAAGCTCCAAGTAGACCACTAGTCATCTAAGACAGGGAGCCAATTTTCTCTGCCTTTGCTTTTCATTTTGAGTTGAGAAAGGCCATTTGAGTTCCAAGTCTGGTACCTGTAGATAACTAATGTCAGCAATAATCTTTAGTAAACTTTGTGACGTTCCTTGTTCGTGGAATCTGCGAAACTCTGTATTTGGGGATAACTGTGATTTTTATCCGTCCACGGGGCTGGCTACAAACGATCATGCTACAATGAGCGTTTTAAGACTCTGTACTATATGGCACTGGGAAAGTAAATAAAAGAACACTGCTTACTGTGCCCTCCCAGAGGGCTGTTCTGACTGAGGCCAAGGGCTGTGTTCAAGATGCACCCTGCCTATCTGCTGGGGACAGCAAGTTTTCCCAATGAGGAATGAGAACGTAATGGGAACTTTAGCACAAGCCCAGATCATCGGCAGCTATGTGGGAAATGCCAAAGACCTGCTTCTGGGAGAAGGCATTTTGTGTTGACCTACCGTGGGGTTGGGAGCAGCCTCTTTGCAGTAGGTGCACTTTTTTAATTCTACCTGAAGAAAGCACAGGCTCCCCCTCTCCTTTGCTGTGGACTTACCACAGTGAGCTGGGGGTGGGGTGGGGGGGCTGTTCCCTTCTGCTTAGGCCTTGTGGCCCCAAGGACTGGGCTTGGGGTTTGGGGTTTGGGTCTGTTTCATTCATTTTTTTCAGTTCTAAGTATAGACATGGGGTACTCAACCCAGAGTCTGAGCCATGATGACCTTGGTACCCAGGATTCTAGGCCACATAGAGGCTGCAACCAGACCACTGGAGTCCCTGGACTCAAAGGGGGAGAGGAGGAATTGGACTTGAAATTGGGTAGGACTGAGGCTACGTAGGAATTGAGTTAAAAATGCACCTCTCCTCCCTAAAGCCTGAGGGTGAGGGGAGGTATAAACCCCCCCCCCATGGTGCTTTTACATGTTTACCCATGATGCCTCTGAAGTAAATATTTCTTTGTAAAAGCAAAAAAAAAAACCCTAAAAACAAATAAGCAAATAAAAAAAAATCCACAATCCAATTCAATGAAGCATTTATTAAGCATCTACATTGTACATGTAAGAGGAAATCTGACATCCCAGAGAGAAGCCAGGCCTGGGTTTAGGAAGATGCGGGCTCCAGTCTCACCTCTGGCTTTGTCAGTCACTTAACCTGTCGCCACCCCAAGCAACAGACCACGGGGTATAGGGCACTGCTAGAGGGAGATCCTCAAACCGAGTTCCCAAACATTAACGAAATCACAGGCCTAAACACCAAAAACAACATGTGGAGGGCACTAGGGACGAACAAAAAACCCCAAGTCACTTACCTCCTACTGAAACAAGACAAAGGGAGGTGGGGAAGGAGTCCTCGGCCCCTCCTTAACCATCCCCAGTGTGGCATGGGGTCACATGCCAGAAGGGCCTAGTCCAGTCCACAAACAATCTTCTAGAGGTAACTGAAGGCTAGTCTAATCCCAGGTCCTAGGGGTTCCCTGAAGACAGTCAGGGAGCACACTGGATAGAGCACTGGGCTTGGAATCAGGAAGACTCATCTTCCTGAGTTCAAATCCAGCTTCAGACACTTAACAAATGTGAGACCCTGGGCAAGTCACTTTACCCTGTTTGCCTCAGTTTCCTCATCTGTAAAATGAGCTGGAGAAGGAAATGGCCAACCACTCCAGTGTCTTTGCCAAGAAACACCTGAAGTGGGGTCACGGAGAGTCAGACGCGACTGAACAACAATAACAAAGGGGCTCTTTCAGCTCTCTTCCCTGAAGTCTAAGTCAAGGGCCCTTATCGAGGGGACGCTTTCACATTCTGTCCCATCAGTCTACAAATATCCGCTGGGTTTCCTGGTCAGAGTGGAGACCTTTCTCCACCTGTCCTGGGCTCACGCCTCTTAGCAGTAACTAGGAGGGAGGGTCTGAGCAGGGCTTGTTACAGACAGGGGCACCCACTCATAAATGAGAACCCCCAATCCACACCCACCTCACAGTATTTGGCCAGAGCCCAATGACTAGAATCAAGAGGAATGACATTAAGTTTCTGACTGAGCAAGATAAAGAATGCTACCAAATGGAACATCTGATTCTTCATTTGCATAGAACCTTAAAGCAATGACAATGAAAAATTATGAAGTTAAAAATCACTTACTACTGCATGTAATACTGCCGGGCGTACATCTGCTGCCACCAGAGCATTTGGAGAGGGCTGAATGCAGGGTAGACAGGGAATCCAGCTGGGAGAGCCTGCCCAGGAAACTGATCCCCAATGTTTCTAAAACAGAGAAGGAGAGGGGGAGGGGAACAAATCTCAGGAGTTTTTAAGCAGGTGGAAGCTATTATCTTAAAAGTATCCTTCTCAAATATTTGTACTAACACCTCAAAATGTAGCTATTGAGTTCCATCACACTTAAGCTCTAACAACACAAGACAAAAAGCTACTAGGTTGGGAGTGACCGCCATGCTTTGAACCCAACATCTTTAACAGAAACAAAGAAAAATCCATTTCTTAAACATATGGTTGTTAAGCCCAAGTACTAATCACTACCAACCGCTGTCATCTCAGTGCCGAGAGCGAGGCCGAGCTCTCTCTTCTTCAGCCGTGCTCAACAATTCCGTTTCATTTACAATCTGGAATGAAATTCTAATGCTTTTCAATTTCATTTTATTGGTATATTTTGTTCACACATCAGCCGCATTTCCAAACACACCCTGCTCAATAGGCTGTCCCTTGTAGCAAAGACTTAAAAAGACCAAATAAGTCACTTGTATCTAAATTCTCCATCCACCTCCCTCTTTCCCCCACAAAGGGGGCAGAGGCCCTGGGAACAATCTCAGGCACTCAGGTACACAGCACGCAGTTTTCTTTTTTAAGAAATAAAGTTATATCGATATCTTTTGTCTGTACATGGCCTATAACTGCCAATATATTCCTCCTCCTCCTCCCACAGAATCTGCTATTATGACAAAAAAGGAAAAAAAAATAGCCCAACAAAACTGACACCAAAGAAAGTGGACTCTGTAAGCAGAGCTGCCTCCTCCGCCACAGGGCAAAGGGAGATGCCGCCTACAAGGAAACAGCTTCTTCGGGCTCCGTCGTCGTGGCCCTCCAAATGGCTCCGTCCCTACTGTTCTTCCCATTCACGCTGCTGCAGACACTGTGGCCACTCACGTCCTGACCAGACCTCCCTGGGCTTTCATGTCGTCATATCTGCTGGTTCATTCAACAGGATTTATTACATCTGTGAACCACAGCTGGTTCCCATTCCTTCGCTGTGTATTAGAGCCTTTCTATCTCTAAGTGACCTCTCTGGAGTTCTTCTTCCTAATAAGGGGAGCTACAGGTCAAAGGGCATGCACATTTGGATGAGAAAAGTCCCCAGAGATGATTTACCACCATTTGTAATAAATCTGACTGGCTCCTGAAAACTACACCACAGGGCTGTGTAAACGTGGTGATGGTGAACTGAAGACCGATCAATGTTTACAGCAGCAAGAACTATTAGGATGCAGAGATTCCCCAATGCTATGAATCCAAAAATATGCTTCGATTACTGCTCCAGTAAAGTACTGAGTGTGGCCGCCTTCCGTGGAGGGGAGAAGGGAGAGGACTAGGAGGTGAAGGAGGGGAGAGGAGAAAGGGAGTAAAGGAAAAAGGAAAAGACCTAGAAAAGGAAGAGAATGGGGGAGCTCTAGATGCAATGAATACTGAACAATTTCCATTCTTTGTCTTTTTGGCACTACTACTGGTCCTAAGGTAAAAATGATGACAAATTCCGCTTTCCTACCCTCCCATCTTTCCTCACGGGAGGAGTGTAAGAATGGATTAATTCTGAAACTGATCCCTGTGCATGTGTTAACCACTCCCCACCCCCAAAGCCCTTCTCTTTCCCCCACTTATCTAACAGCATCTTAACAGTGGCTTTCTGGAGACAATCTCAGTCATCTAATCTATGGTGGGAAGTTGAGGCCAGAAAGGGACAAAAGATGTAAGAGTGATTGGGGGGCGAGGGGAGGATTGAGGGAGCTGTGAATCAGGAGAAACAACTCTAGAGTGATGCAGCTAAGAGACGAAAAGGCCCACACACCGGCAGCGCTCTTTGTGAACACGGTCAAGCACTTATTAGACACCTCCTGTGTACTAGGTATGGTGCCAAGGGAGACAAGGAAAAGCAGACAGCAGCAGCGCCACTGCAGGGCCTGTTCTCCCGAAGCTCACAGCCTATGGAGAAGCCAACACGCAAACACTGGGTTCAAGCCAGAACCACACAGAACCAATCCATGCCACCCATCAGAAGGAAGGCGCCAGGAGGACCAGGAAAGGCTTCCCATGGAGGCGCTGGCCTAGAAACACAGGGGCGCGGCGGTCCCCAAAGGGCAGGGAATGGGACCGTGCTGTAAGCCTGCCGAGACTGCTGTGACCTGACGCCGAAACTGGGGGCTCGGCTCCAAAGAAGGGGAAACAGAGCACTGAGTCCTCGTCCTCTTCCTCCCCCTGCAGCCATGGGAGGGCCCATCACATTTCTGCACGTATCGTCACAGACTTTTTCAATGTTTCATTCAGTATTTTCTCTTTTTTCTTTACTATGATATAGAACAGCTCTCTGGGAGCAGAAGTGGAGAGATACTGGGGGAAATTCTGGTGATTTAAAAAAAACCCAAAATTAGCAATAGAAACATTAAAAAAAAAAAAGCTCAAGTCAGGCCACAGAAATTTTAAGGCAGTGCCAAAAGCTTGGTTATCACCTGCCGGTGAGGCCGGGTTCCAGGCTCACCATGAATGCAGACCTGCACCAACCCCAGGGCCTGAGGTAAGAGGCCCTTGGGGATTCCTATCCTATTACTTGCTGGAATAGGAATGTCCTTCTCAAGAGAGGTTTCAAACACGGATCAGTCATTGACAACAATTCTATCCTCAAGGTGTTTCCCAGGGACTGCTTTGATGGACCACATTTAATGAGCACAAACAATACCCACCTGCCTCCTGGGTTGTTGGGAAGACCAAATAAGAGCCTACTTGTAAAGCACTTAGCATGGTGCCTAGCACACAGCAGGCACTATATAAATTCTAGCTCTTATTATCATCCTGGGGGAGTTTTCTCCTTAAAGTCTAAGAATCTGGGGGAATGGCTCCCCACCATCTCTTGACCAGGAACCTGTCAATCCTGGGTTTTAAGCTAGGGCCCAGAAGTACAGAAGTAGACAAAAGCATTTAGTAAGCACTTACGGTGTGCAAACAAAGCATCGTGCTGAACCCTCAGGATACAAATGTCCCTGGCCTCCAGAGCTCACATTCCACTGGAACAGACTTTGGCTGCGAGTCCTTGGGGTGCAGCAGCAGAGCGGATGGTTCTTTCACGGTATTCTGCTAGCATGCCTCCACTCCTCATGCTCCACCGTTTGACATGCCACAGACTCTGGTCCAGAACATCTTCTTTTTGGGTCTTCAGTCGCTGTGGTTCCAGATGGCATCTTCTAAGGATGATGCTAACAGAGGACCAGTGGTCCGAGGTATGGGGCCACTGCCTGGAGCAAAACATGGGCTCCACTCCCCTAGGCAGGGCTGTCTAGCAGTTGCTGTGGGTATGGTGAAGTCTGGCCCCTTTTCCAGGGTGGTTTCTCCCCTAAACAGTGGGTATAGAATATGGGCTGGAGGCAGTGGACTGGTCATTTCCAAGGCTTTAGGGGTCAGGCTTCTGAACCTGGCTGTCCGTAACAGTCGGAGGAGAGCCAGCAGCTGAGAGGAGGGGGGTGGTCTGACTCCCCTGACACAGTCCCTCTCCAGTATCTTGCTCAGGGTTCCTTGTTGACTGCTAGGGACCGCTGGCTCTTCTCCCTTCTCCACAGGGGCTGCTTCCCAGGACAAGGACAAATTATATTCTTGTATTACTTCCTAACCAGCTACTAACTTCCCAAATGTGCATCTGCCTTCAATGAAGAAAGTTGATGAAACCACCAGCTGGGCCCCTACCAGGTTCCCTTACTGGCAGCACTTAGGATGTTTCCTAGGTTCCTTCTGGAAGAAAATCCTGTGCCCATATATTAGACACATGTTCCAAGAAAGCAGCAGACTGATCTACTGTTACCAGGGCAACCAAGTGCAGCCAGCATTTCTCCAGTCAATGATCAAAGGAGATAGCTTCCAAGCTAAGTTATACGCCCCGCCTCAAAATGCTCCAAATCATCAAATAATTAGAGAAATGCAAATGAAAGCAATTCTCAAGGTGCCACCTGACACCCATCAAATTGGCTCATCTGACAAAAAGGAAAATGACAAATGCTGGAGGGGCTGTGGGAAAACAGGCACACCAAGGCACAGCTGATGGAGCTGCAAACTGACCCAGCCACTCTGGAGAGCAGCCTGCCCGGAGCATCATGAAACTACGCACGCACCCATCACACACAAAGACAGCTACAGCTACTCTATTTGTTGCAGCAAACTAAAGGGGTGCCCGCGGATCTGGGAGCAACTGAACACAGCAATGTGCCACACGAAATGATGAAGGGGGTTGTTTCAGACAAACCAGGGAACACTCATACAGGCCCATGCAGAGTGAAGTGAACAGAACCAGGAGAATGACTGATACAACCAAAGCAGTGACCCACCAGGAGGCCAAAGGACTGAAGGAGCCTACGACCTGCCTCCTAACAGAGCAGTGACCGACTCCAGACACAGGAGGAGTCTTGAACTTCAGGACACGGCCAATGAAGGAATCCATTGTGCTTATCTCTCTCTCTGTCTTCTCTCTCTCCCTCCCTTCTCTCTCCCTCTCTCTATTTACACACACACACATACACCTGTCAGGAGAGGAGATTTTCCCCCTTTCTGAGGGGGGAGTGGGGTGAGAAAGAAAACAAATGCTTGTTCATTGAGGAACAAGAAGAGCTGGTGCCCGTCAGCCAGTCCTCAATTGGCAGCACTCATTCCTGCTCAGATCCTCAGCGGCCCAGCTCTCACGCAGCAGCTCCGACGCACTTACGTGCCCGTGTGGTGGTCATCTCGGAGCAGCCAGCTCCCTGCCCCTCAGGAAGAGCCTTGAAGGTGTACTCTCTGCCCCTCCGTTCTGACCCATGGCATCTGGCTTGAATTCCTGTGGGCCATTTTCTCCTTCCCCCTTCACTGGTCTTGACCATCTCCCTCCAGGTGCCCTCCGACTTTGCCAAGAGCCCATCCTTCCTAGGTCCATGGTCCACAAATCTAAATCCAGTTCTCAGACATCTGAACCAACTACTCCCTTCTCACACTTGCCTCTCCCTTCTGAAAGCCTCCCCTTTGGGCCAACAACCATGCCAATGACGTCACTCACACCTTCCGACGTCAGTCGAATCTGAGAAGGCAGGAGACCTCCGTTCTTTTTGTGCCGTCCATCTGTGGCCGTGCCTTGGTGACCATGCTCGGGGAGCTGCCAACCTCCATCCCTTTCTTCCTCTCCTTAGCATCCCCGGGTGACCTCTGCTGCTGGCTCCTGTGGCCCCAGAGCACAGCCTCATGCTCTGCACCTTCTGCAGGAAGAGCCTTCAGCCCACCAGACAGCCGTGCTGACCTGGCTTTCTTTCCTCACTGGGCACGTCCACTGGCCTGCCACATTCCTGACTCAGGGCACAATTCTTTTTCTTTTTTAAATTGTTGCCTGTTGTCCGTAGCTGCTTTGCCTGCTGCATTCACTTCAAAGAGGAAGAGTAAACCAAGAGAAACCCAGGATTGTTCTGATTACACACAGAATCCTGGTCCACCCCACCCCCCCAACCACTGCCCTCTGACCTGGAGGGCTGAGACACGGCCCTAGCCTTTGGCCGACGGGGCAGGCCATCTTTACTAGAGTTAGGTCCTCTTGGGTATAGGAAGCTACAATGGACTTCTTGGGAAATGTCCCCTACCAAGTGCTCTCCCCAGGACACACATACTGGACAGGATGAAGGGCTGACATGTTTTCTGTCAGATTTGACATGTAAATCATAAAATAATTCTCAAAGTATAACAATGTAGGTGCTTGAATAATCATAATTAAACCACAAACATCATAAAGGACTTATATGCACATCAGGTGCTATCTGTCCTTGCCTTCCCAAGTGTACACGTGTGTGTGTGTGTGTGTGTGTGTGTGTACATGCCCACACATGTAGTGACTGCACATGAATTCACCTACTGTAACTCACCCACTATGTGCAAGATGGCCAGCCCAATGCATGAAGAGCTTGGCTTCAGGTCCCGCCTGTGGCACACCCAGGCCATGTGCCCTTGGGCACAGCCCCTCAAGCTGCTAAGACTAAGTTGGTGCAGAGATGTGGCTCTGACTTGGCAGATGCTGACTCCTCACTTGGGAGTTCCCTACCCAGCGAGCATTCAGACAGCCCTCCAAAACCAAGTGCCATTTAAGGACCAAGCGAAATAGTGGTAAAGCACTTAGCACAGTGCCTGGCGTATGTCAGGTGCTGAATAAAGGTCTGCTTAACTTCTCTAAGATTTCAAAGCACTTTAAAAATATTATCTCATTTTTACCCTTACAAAAATGAAGCCAACAGAAGGGAGGAGACTTGCCCAGGGTCACTCAGTCAGTAAGCACCTACGGCCAAAGTTGAACTCAGGACTAGCTGGCTCCAGCCCAGCTCTGGACACCGCAGCAGCCCCTAGCAACCTCACCTGAATTATGTCAAAAGCGGACAGTCCCAGGCCCCAGAGAGACAGCGACAAAACCTCAACAGTCCCTGACTTTAGGGCGTTGCGAGTCCCAGAGAGGCTGACCATCTTCCCCATCTCCCCCATGAGCCCAATCACAACGGCCAATTCACTTACCCTTGCATGACGTATGGGAACTGAAGGCTTTGCTCGGGATCGGCTGGTGCTTGTGGAGAGCTCCGGAACCTCAGTCCTTCGGAGCCAGAGCTGACTGTGGGAGCCAGAGACTCCTGACTCGAAGACGGCGTTGATGATCCCGAATTATCTGAACTCTTAAAACACAATGTGAATTTTTTCCAAGTAAGCTGGTTTCATAGCAATCCCAGGTAGGTCTGTATGTTACAGCACAAGTGATCGTCATGTTCCCACAGTTCTATAAGAGTGCTAACTAAACCCAAACAAGGTCTTTGTCACAGATGCTGGAGCTGGTGAAGGGGGACAGCTCCTGCTATCGACAGCTTTCACTCAGAAAAACTATCTGTAATCAGCTCAATAAGGTCTGTCACTGGGGCCATGAACCAGGGAGCGGCAGGAGCTGCTAACTGCCTTAAAAGGGTCCAACCTCAAACCGCCTGATGAGGCAGGGAGAGTCACAGAGCAGCACCTAGCCTTGAATGTCTGTCTGTCTGTCGGGGGGGGTGGCCCTCTCCACATCTGCTCTCAGCAGAGCACAGGCATGAGATGATAGAAGAGCAGATAACTGTGCCATCTATTTTGTTATGCCACCGAGCAGACACAAGGCAGGACAAACAGACTGGGGCAGCAGAAGGGTGTGTTTTGGAAAGAGGGAGAGAGCAAGGAAGAAGCCAGGTGGGATGGCAGGGGCGGGGAGAGCCCCTCTTCGGGGGCATCTGTGGCACTTTCACATGGTGGGCATGATGGCCCTCTCTGCAGGCTGCAGCTCATCAAGTTCTTACTGTCTGCACTGCTGCTGTCTACTCCAGTGGGCCTCAGTTCAGCTCTGTCCTTCCTAGTGTCTCTGAACTCATCCTTAAAGGACAGGGACAAGCCGTGACACTCACATGGCCCATCTCATTTAGCGCTCAGTCCCCAGTGGATGGATGCCTAGGGCCTGGGGCACAGCCAGGCCACACACACCACCTGTCCTGTGGTGGGAGCCTGGCATTCAGCAGCTACGAAATTAGTGGATGAATGGGGGAGGGGAGCAGGCAATCAGGGCAGCTCCCCTAGCACCTCTGACTGCCACAGCCCTGAGATGACCACTTTACCAATTTGTGTACAATGGCGGAGACAGTGCCCTCCTTTCCAGTCTTGACAAGGGCTGCCTTCACTATTCAAAGATAGGAGAAGGGCAAGGTACCCAGATAGGGTAGTTCCTCTTTTTGAGGAAGAAAGCTCCCTGACAAGAAACAAGCTATTAACCTTGTTCAAAGCTGTTGTGGGGTGCACCCTCACTGCACGGTGCAAGTACCACCATGTTCAGACTCCAAAAGGGACGATGGTCTTTGACAAGGTGTCAAAATTCATTCCACCAACTAAAAGCCACTCTGAGCTGGGAAAGCGCGGATGGAAGTCTTGTCAGATAAAGATTGCCTAGCTCAGCAGGGAGTCTACTGCCTGGAGATCCAGAGGCCTCAATGAACAGAAGGAAAAGCTGCATGACTACTCAGAGCCCGGGACAACTTTCCACGAGGAGATCAGACGTGACTGCCATGTTTTCCAAAGCAGCAGGAAGTGGGCTCGCTACGTGCCAGGCTTGTCCTGATCATCAAAGGCCTGAGCACCAGGGAGCAGCCCAGCACAAGGATCAGAGCCAAGCAGGCTCCCAAGTCTGCGGACCCTAACCACCTGGGTGACCTTGGCCCAGTCACTTCCCCTCCCTGGGCCTCAGTCTCCTCATCTGTATGATAAAAGGCCTGGATCGGATGACTCCCACAGCACCTCACAGCCCCAGCTCCAGGTCCAGAGAGACTGCCAGCTCTTGGAAGGGGCTTGCGGGCAGGGGAAAAAAAGGAGGCAACCTGCTTCATTAGTGAAGACAGTCACCAACGAAGAAGAGACAAAAAGAACCAGGGGAAGGGGTGGGGGTCAGCTGCCCCTTCAGCATGTGTCTTCATGGGACTGGGGCAGCTTGGGGGCAATCAGAGAATTCTGCCCTTCCCCAGCAGGACAACAGGTGGGACACCAAGCAGGCAGGACATGAGGCAGCAGGATTGCGAGGGCTCTGGCAACCCCAACCTAGCCTCGTGAGGATCCCTGGAACTGCCCGATGTCCCTCCCATTCCCGGGGCGGGGGAGGGGGGAACCTCAGAGACGATTTATCCAACAACTTCACTTTCTAGGGCAGCAGCTGAAGCCCAGGGCAAGGGACTAGTCTGATGTTACCAAACAGGAATCAAGTCTGGGGCTCTTCTGCCCCATCCCCAGCTGCACCCTCCTGGCTCTGAGGATGGCAGTCCGGGGGCCTGGTTTACAAGGTACAAAAAAGCTTAAGATGGACAAGCCCCTTCCCAGGATCAGGAGGCTGGGGCCAGCCAATCCGTACACAGCCTTAAAGGTATCAAAGGACAAAGCAAAGCCTGGTGCACTGAGGCAAAGCTAAGACCTCAGGAGAAGAGGCAGCCATGTAGGGTGGGCCCCAAATGCTTCCCCAGAGTTGCCCATCGAGCTAGAGCAACCCTGTGTCCTCCAGGAAGAGGTGGGGGAAGAAGGAGCATATCAGCTTCATATCTAAGAATGAGGGAGAGCAGTAACTAATCCTGGTTCCTGAGAAGGAGGGAGCAGCGAGAACACCAGGTGAGCTCTGCGGCCAAGCGGGGCAGCTGTGGGCAGTCTCACCCTGAACACCTGGACTGATGCTGCCCTGCAGGGGGTGACCCTGGGGAAAGGCTGGGCTGAGGCTGCGCTGGGAGCAGCCCCCTCAGCATTCTCTTGGGTATGTCTATGCCAGAGGCCAAGGACCTGATAAGCAACAGGCCGAGTCAGATGTGCTAATGGTACTCACTACAGTGAGGGAACTCATTCCAAAAGACTCGTGATGGAAAAGAACTATGGAGTCTGAATGCAGATTGAAGCACACTATTTTTGCTTTTTTTTTCTTTCTCATGGTTCTTCCCCTTTGGTCTGATTCTTCCTTCACAATATGACTAATGTGGAAATACATTTAATATGATTATGTATGTATAGCCTATATCAGATTGCATGCTGTCTTGGGGAGGGGGAAACTCAGAACTCAAAACGTTATAAAAGTGAGTGCTGAAAATTTCAAAAAATAACAACACAACCACTAAGTAACTGGTGAAGGCCTGGGGAAAAATAAAATAAAGCGAAGCAACTGTCTGGCAAAGCAAAGGGAACCATCCCTTCACCACGGCAGGTAGGCCGTGTGGGGCCACAGTCCAATGGCTCTTCTCTGGGACTAATGCGAACGGCGGACAGGCGCTCCCAAGGGAGAAGCTCTGAGGGAACAACCACTACCCCACTTATGATCCTCCTCCAGAAATTCCTGCGTGTAACTCTGGTTTTAATCGAAGCAAATTCAAACGAATTCTGGTTTCGGAGTTTCATTACACTCTCTGAGTTAATCTGAAACAACGTTGGTACCACAAAACCAGAGACGGCAACAGCCCCAGCCTGAGTTCATCAGGATACAGAGTGGTCCTTCCTGGGGAAGCCTGGCAGAAGGCATCGCAGCCTATGCCTACTACAGTCAGGCCAACCCACTGGTCGGTACAAACACCACCCTTCTGAGGACAACGCAGATCAACATTAAAAAGTAAATCCAGGGGCAGCGGGGTGATGCAGTGGAGAGAGCACCAGCCCTGGAGTCAGGAGGACCCGAGTTCAAATCCAGCCTCAGACACATAACACTCACTAGCTGTGTGACTCTGGGCAAGTCCCTCAACTTCAAATGCCTCACAAAAAAAAAGTAAATCCAGCCCCCTGGATTCCCCCAAATCAGCACATGATAAAGTGAAGTCTTAAGTAAGCGCCTGAAAATGAACTACCTGTCACAAACCAAGAGCTCTGCCCCATTCTCCCTAGGGCATGGAGAAAGCATTCACCCCGGGGCTCCCACATCAGCCAGTCGGGCTCCCTGGGGACTCCCCCAGCCAGCAAGCACTTACTGAGCTCCTAACACTGCGGTAGGTCCCAGCAATATGAAGACAAGATAAAAAAGGGGGCCCTGCCCTCAGAGCGCTTAAGCTCTCTAAAGGAAAAGAGACATGTAACCAGTAGCACACACCAAGGAATTCTGGGTGGGGGATGAGCACTCCTGACCAACGAGGGAGGTTGAGGACGGCCTTCTTGCCCCCAAGCCGTGCTGGGAAAGGGTTACCCATGGTCCAATTCCATTTTCAGGGTTTGGGGTGGATGGAAACCAAGAGCCTTCTTTCCCACTCCCCCCTCACCCCACCCCCTGCCAGCCAAACAACTCACATAACTGCTGATGGAGGTCAATGCTTCCTCACTGCCTCTCCGGCTGCTGGGCTGTGGGGGAACTGGGAGGAGTTCGAGAAGCACAGACTAGATGGACCATATGATATTCATCTTGCTAAAATGAAATAAAGTGGAGATCATCAAGCAATCCTCAGAAGCCTGTCATCCAAAAGGTGTGAAGTCAGGCAAGAGAAGCCAAGTGAGTGAAGCAGCACCTCCTGCCTTCATGGGGTCTCCCTCGGGCATCCGAGGTCCAGCTCTTCTGAACCCAAAGAGCATCTTAAAGCCGGAGGCCCCGCAGCATCTCAGGATAGGCTGTGGCTTCCCACACCATGCAGCTGGATGCCAGCACTGCCGCCAACTGGGCCAAAAGCAATCTGTGCTTCCACCATCGGAAACACTTCCAGGCCCCGAAAATTAAAGCCAACATCCTAACTGTCACTGTGCGGGGCATGCACATTCCAGTTACGCAAGCAATGCACATGAGAAGAGCAAACGATTTCAGCTTGAAATGGACTTCCCCAGACTTTTGTGGGCAGCAGGTCACTCTGAGCCAGAGGCTGCCATGAATCTTCACTAGAAACCCTGCGCTTGGCATGAAACTATTACTTGAACACAATACCCGAGAGCATTCAAAGGTCCTCACATCTTTCCCCTCACTTGAACAGGGAAAAAAACCTACGAAATGATCAGACAGTAGAAGAGGATGGGCAACCGCTTTACCTTGGAGTCTGAGTGAGGCGGAAGGAGTGCTCGCCTTGGAGTCGGAAGCGGCGGCCACAGCCCACGCCCACCCAACTGAGCCTCACTTTCTCATCAACCATGTGAAGGGGGGGCCCTCAAGGGGAGGGAGACTGCCTGCCTCTAAGACTCCTCCTAGCTCTCAACTGTCTGTGACCCTCTGGATACTACAAGTGCGGCTCCTCAGACCTACAGAGGAAGCAATGAAAATCACATTTAAAAAAAGGAGAAAAGAAGAGCAGACAAGAGGAAGAATGGGAAGGAAAGAAGGAAGCAGAGAAATGGCAGGGGCAAACAGTCACAAAGAATGGCAGGCAGAGAAGAGCTGGGAGAGGGACAGGGGCATCTGCTGCTGAGGGGAGGCTGAGCGCTAAAAGGCCGTGAGGTCTTGCCAAGGCCCGAGCCTGGAATGTGGCCATCTCATGGTGCAGTGGTTATCTGGGACCCAAACTTATCCCAAACCAGAGAAATGCATTTCCAAAGAAGCAGTGGAAGGACACTGGCCCTAGAGCAGAGTACTGGGGGTCCAGTGCTGCCTCTGATGCCCATGGACTGCCTGTGTGCCCGGAGGCAGTTCACTTAATGCTGGGGCGGACAGGGGGAAACGGGCTGGGCTAAGTGGCTCTGGGGGTCCCTTCCAGCTGCGGAGCTGGGATCCTTTCTGCAGGCTGTGAAACCTCAGACATCACCACGGCTGCGCCCTCGTCCTCGGACACAGGGATGGACAGGAACGAGGGCGCTGGCCTGCCACCCACCACGAAGTCCCCTTTCAGGCCAAAGACCTCAGGAGCCACACGTAGGCTCTCCATGACCTTCACAATCACCACAGATAAAAAATGCTTGGGAGTCTCAAACCAGGAGTTCTAACATATATATAACAAAGTATCCCCTTAAACCACAGGGCCATATATGGCTCCCTCACACAGTGATCTATAGCTTAGCTCTTCAGCTGTGTTACTGTTAAGGGTCAGGTTAAAAAGTCTGATTCAGGTAATGGCTAGTGAGATTTTCCTTCAATTTCTACCTATATTCAGCACTACTGAGCTGTCTCAGCACCTCTCCTGGGTCACACGGAGAAGTCAGATGAGACAGTTTGGGGGGATCAATGCAAATTCATCACCAGTAGAAAGACCATGCCCACACCCTCAGGAGAGTCAAAAGGACTTTTTCATGCAAAGAAGGACATTGTTTTTAATCCCCACACACACATGAATACGCACATAGGTAGTAAACCCACTGCACAGCTGGCCATGAAACACAGATCTGGCTGACTGGTTAGCAAATGAATCTGATGGCTTCTTCTTACATCTTCAAGAATGCTCTCTGTCCTTACCACGTTATTCTAAGGCAATAATTTCAGGTTCTTTGAAAATGAAAAACTAAAAGTGGAAACCTATTCGCATTCAGAACACGGCCCCTTTTAAAAAGAAATGTATTCAACAAACTTATCAAACAGTGTTGGAAGAAGACCTTACTTTTCTGACAATATCTTTCAGCTGCAGATGGTCAGGAAGCAGGCGGCCAGAGTACACCAGTCTTTGATCCTTTGGAGACTACAAGATGGGACAAAGAGAAAATTCAGCTTTCTCCAATTACACAACTTTACAGCTGCAAATAACATCCCTAGGTTCATGTTAAACAAATATTCTTTCACTTTCCCAGTTATTAGAAAATCTGCCCATACAGGCAGAACCTAACCCCATTAATTGGCTCCACACACACTAATTAGCTGAGAAAATGCTGGTAGCAGCATTAGAGCCACAGAAATAAAACTGGGCAGGCCTGTTAGGGAGGAAGTGTCCCTGCTGGGTTCGAAATATTAAGAGAGGGTGTAGTTGAGATGTTTGAATGACTTTATTGAAAAAGACACCGGGCAAGGCAACGTTATGTGGGAAATGCTTATGCAATTTCATTACTTTGTCATTCCAAGTCAGCTCTGATGAATGTTATTGACAGCTAATGATAACAACAGCAAAGGCAACAGGAGCCAGCATTTCCATAAAGCGCCTACTGTGTACCAGGCAGTGCAACAAGTGCTTTATAAACATGACCTCCCCTGATCCTTACAGTGACCCTGTGAGGTACATGAGATTATGATCCCCACTTTTCAGGCGAGCAAACTCAGGCAAACAGAGGCTAAGTGACTTGCCCAGGGTCACACAGCTAGGAAGTCTGAGGCTGGATTTGAACCTGTCCCCCAACTCCAAAGCCAATGCCTCCACCCAGCATGCAACCTGGCTACAGATGATTTTCACAATGTCAGTCGCCCAGGTGCCAACTAAAACCACGTAGAACCTGCCTTCTTACCCACACTGAAACACTCCGCCCAAAAGCAGACGAGCGCGGACTGACTTTCTTAAGACGGGAAAGGCGGGAAGGCCCCTCAGCGCACGTCATCAGGTTCGTCCTTTCTCCATTCGTATCAAAGAGAATGAGTCTCAGTGACACCCAAAGCACAACTTGAGGGTGTTTTCATTTGATCTTCAGCTTCTACACAAATCAGACCCTGGCAATGACGTTCCCACCCCCGCCCCATGGACATGCTGAGGCTCATACGTTTTTGATGCAAAGTGTGTGTAAAAAACAGGAACAAACTGAAAAAAAATCCCCCAGAACCAGATGGCGACGATGCTTCAGAGAGGATGGGACCAAATCAATTTTACAAACGCATTAATATTCCATATTGTCACTTCTATTGGTTTTACCCATCTCCTCCCCCTCCGTCAGGCTTTTAAAAGTTAGCATCACAACAAATGTGAGTTTCAGAAGGAGAAAGATTTAGGAGTAGGAACAGGTCATGCCGGGCAGGACCAGGATTGGGGCATCAGGGCACTCCCACAGACACAGAACTGCTAGCTTCCCCAGGCTTTTCGTGAAGTCTCTCGTGTGTTCTGGGCGGACAATCTGGAGAGCTTCAAGACAGCATAGGAGCTTAAGTGACCAGACCCAAAAGAACAATCATGAATGAAGACTGACATCAGCTTGGGAGGGCCCTCTCCTTGCCCCCACGGAGCCACGAAAGAGCTTCCTGGAAGGGCAGAAGGGGACGGGGAGCTAGGAGGGTTAGGCATGGACAAGGACCCGACAGTGGGCCAACACAGGATGATGGAATCCAATCTGATGGGCAAGGGATGTCAGGACAGTTTCTATAAAGAAGCCCTGGAGGGCTTAGAAGACGATGCGTTAGCAATGTCACCCAATGGTCAGTACTGCACTGGGTCACACTGGACGGCATCCAAGGATCCTTCTAATGTTTACATCCTATGACTGTGCCTAGTCTAACCTCGAAAGCAAGGAACATTTTTTTTTTCAGCATAAAGAGAGGCAGAGTGGCAGACTGGAGAGAGGGCCAGTCAGCCTCAGGATCAAGAGGTCTCGGGTACAGGTTCTGCCTGTGACACAAAATGGCCTGGCCCGGTGATCCTGAACAAGTCCAGACAGAGCAAGATTAGGAATTACCAACAGCTACTGATCTGCATCTACACACGGGAGCTCCTGGACCACCAAACCCAAAGACCCAAGGTTGCCTCCTTGGCAAAGGAAGGTAATGAGCAACATCTCAATGAATGCCTACTGTGCACGAGGCCCTGGGAATACAAAGATCAAGATGGAGCGACGCCTGCCGGAAAGGAGAGTACGTACTCTTAGGGAATGCTACAGACACCCTGCAGAGAGAAGGTAACTGAGAGAGAGAGGCCTGGGGCGGGCGAGGAGAGGACTGGAAAGGCTCCATGGGAGGCACTGGAGCCGAATCTGGAAGAAAACCAGTGCAGGTGACGACCCCTACCTAGCCTGAAGAGTTCACAATACTCAAGTCTGAGCAGTGGCAGGAAAGCCAGAAGTCCAGGAACAGAAAAATGTTTGTAACAAGACTGGGCAGGTCACTAGGGGCAGCTTGTAAAGAGTTCGAGGCTTTGCCAGGAGCTGCTCTGGTCCTGTTGGTCCAAGGTAGATGGGACCCATCTGTGTTCTTGCTATCCCAAAGGGTCTTCCCAGGGCAGCTAGGTGGCGCAGTGGATACTGCACCAGGCCTGGAGTCAGGAAGACCTGAGTTCAAATCCAGCCTCAGACCAGACACTTGACACTTACTAGGTGTGTGACCCTGGGCAAGTCACTTAACCTCAACTGCCTCACAAAAACAAACAAACAAAAGGGTCTTCCCTTCCTCAGGGTGAGGTTCTAGGAGGGTTTCCTGTTCCTATATTGGCTCCTATGAGTCCTTTGAATCTTAAGCACTTTTTTGTGATGGGAAAATAAAGGTTGTCCCACAGCCAATGCCCAGATTGTCTGAGGGGTGCCTATACAAAAATGGGAAGCCTTTTACCCACACTTAAGGAAACAGACATGTCACACCTAGATTTTATTTTTCAAATTTTCTCAGATTAACCTCTAGGATAGGGGCGTGAGCCAGAGACAAACTGGCCCCTTTAGGGTTGGGACCTCGGCACCTGGCCTGTGCTGGCCCAGAGGATCACCATCTCTTTCTAAACTGGAATTTGGGAGGATGTGGGCCTGGGCAGGGCACACAGGATCAACAGGTTGTTCCCATTTGGCCAAAAGGAAACCATTATACTGCACGAACAAAACATTATCCCCACATTGTCTGGCTTCCCCATACTTGGCAGATGCTCAAGAGAAATCACAGATCACAAAACCCAGCAGCAGACTAACACCCCTCCAGGAGACAAGAATCACTCCTGACAGGCAACATGCTCACTGCAATGGCAACCTGCAGATTTTAGGGGGAAAATATTTCCTGTTTAATTTGTTTAAATTCCATTAATTTAAACAAAATTTTCGGAACCTCAAACACCCAAACTTGGGCTCACATTTCAGTCTGCCGCTGCTAACTTACTAAGTCATCAAGCAAACCAGCAGCGGTTTCTTTCCTAAATTGCCATTTCTCTAAAATCATTCAAGCTCGCATTTTGTCAGCCTCAGGATCTCAGCCGGGAAGGGCCTTGCTGCCTCCTGCTGGCCCCCTGTGCTGAGGAGGCACTGCGGCCTGCTGGAACAGCCCTTGGCCTGGCCGTTTTCCTGACATTCAGCTCCAATTTGGCCCTTTACCACACTCACCCCTTCTGGCCAGTTCTCCTCTTCGACCGAATGAGCAGGACAAGCTTCCAAGCAGAGATGGCTGTCACATCCTTCCAGCTCAGTATCTACAGCTCCTTTGGCTCATGGTGGCCGTGGCTTTGCCCGCCTCTCAACCTTTCCAGTTTATCAATGTCCTCCCAGAAATGGGGTGCCCAGGCAGCTAGGTGGCGCAGTGGATAGAGCACCTGCCCTGGAGTCAGGAGGGCCTGAGTCCAAATCTGGCCTCAGACACTTGACACTTATTAGCTGTGTGACCCTGAGCAAGTCACTGAACCCCACCGCCTAGCAAAAACAAAACAAAAACAAAGACAGTAACGGGGTGCCCAGAACGTCAAACAGCAGGGGGCCCCTCGGCTCTGGATCCCTTCCAGGACGCTCTCTGGGCCTCTCTCAACACAATCCAAGGTCCAGGCCAAACCCAAGAGCAGACTCGTCCCAAGACGGCGGGCCACTACAGCCACAGATGTCTTCCCGGAACACTGCTCAAAGTGCCATCCCTCATCTCAGGTTTGCCAAATCAATTCCTTAGGCCCTTGCTAGCCCTGGCATTCTGAGAGGGGGAAAAGCAGCATCTAACCTCATCACGTCATCTCTATGCACACTTCATCCCCAGCCCCAGTTCTGCTCTGCCCTCTGGAAACCCCCAACTCAACTCCTGTTAGCAAACTTCCCCCCTCAGGCTCAGTCAGCTTCCTGGTGGGCTTCCTCCAGCCTCATCCCTGGTCTGGACCTGCTCTTGCCACGGCCAGCAAGGCCTCTCTCTGTGGCCACTGACACACTCAGCCCCGAGCACGTGGCAAGTCCAGAGCCCGGGGGATCTCCAGGACATGACTCTCCATTTCCTCATGCTGTCGGATCACATCTTGTCAGGCTCCTTTCCTGAACCCTCCGCTCCCTACACATCCGTATCCCCCTAACTCTGCTCTTCTACCCCCTTGTATCTCTTGGTGTGAAAGAAAGGCCTCCCAGTGTGCTGGAATGCTGACCCTGGAGTCAGAAAGACCTGGGTTCAAGTGCTAACCCTGACACTTACGAGCCCCCTGCCATGTCACTTAACCTCCATACACCTATGGCTCCTAAGTGACAGAGCTGCTGGGAGGTTCCAAATCATGGCAAGCAGAGATGTCTCCAGTGTACCAGAACTGATTAAAATGTCACTGGGAAATGATGAACAGGATAAGTAAAAATACAGTAGAACACAGATACTACTAAGGCAGCTAAGAGGTGTAGAGGATAGAGTGCCGGGCCTGGAGTGAGGAAGACCTGAGTTCAAATCCAGCCTCAGACAATCACCAGCCATATGATCCTGGGCAAGTCACTTTAAGCCTGTCTGCCCTAGTTTCCTCACCTGTAAAATGAGCTGGAGAGGGACATGGCACACTACTCCAGCATCTCTGCCAAGAAAACTCCAAATGGGGTCACAGAGAGCCAGACACGACTGAACAGCACCAATGCT